CAAGATGGCATTTTACGCTATCTTCTCCAGGAAAACGAGAGTACCTATCAAGATCCAAGTAATTTTAATGTATTCACTGGATTGGTGAGAGTGTCTTTAGCCATTAGAATATGGCCTCACTACTTTGTAAATAAAATTACGGACGTTCAAAAATGCAGTTTTGTGCGATTTTTGACAAGTTTTCGTTTTGATCACATATTTATCTATGAAATAACGAACAGCTGTTCAGATCAAGATTATTTTTTCTAGCTGTCACTGATATGTTTACAATTTTTGTTCACAAATACCGCAATCATTCGATCACGTTTTGAAAGCAAATCCCAACTTTTCTTACATAACGGATTTAATTAATCGCAAGTGCAATAATATAGTGTAACCGTAACTGAAATTAAATAACTAGGCATCATCCAGGTCAGTAACCAGAGATTCTTTGTGTATAAAATTGTTCTTGAGTTTTGATGACCAGAAAGAACCTTGAATCAGTGTTTTATACTGCTGGGAAACTTAAATTTATTAATGATCGTCGCCAATAACTTAGACACAAGGTTTCCACTCATTGGTGGCGCTTCAATTGCGGTTGTATAAAGTGAAAGTGTAAAGTAAAAAATCGCAACTGCAGTGGGTGATTGTAACAGGGGTTTACGGATGATGCTACTCGCTTTTCCAATGTATCACTTTCCAACTCGCTTTTCCAATGTATCACTTTCAGTTCCTACCATTGACTATATATCTAGTCAATAGTTCCTAAAGGCTGTCTCATGTTAAGTTGAGGCAGACTACCTGACCAGAGGGAAGAGCAGGACAATGGCTAGGCCGGTCCTTCGACGGACAGTCCCGACCCTTGGAGTAAATCCCATTAACCATGCGTCACTGAATACTTCACTTAAAAGCGTAAATATATTGATTAATTGAAAATATAATCAATTCGTCATATCTGAAAATGATGTATTCTAGGTTATAAAAAAAAAACAAAATTGTTCATGTTCGTCCCATGCAAATCGGCAAATTTAAAGTATTAAAACAAACTTTTCCCTTATAACTAAGTACAATATCAAATTTTAAATTACTAATCATTGATATTCTGTATTATACTTCGTTCATAATATTTTGGTGGTTTTAGGGGAAGAAATAGGGCCAGAAGTAGCAGTTTGGGTTTCAACATACTAGCGTCTAGACTGCCAGTGCAAGTCCGAGGAACGGAGGATCGTGGATCAGATCATACCGGCGCATCAGCATAGCTTATCTAGGTGAGCACTTTTTCACCTCAAGTTAGTTGACGAATATCGAAACTGGAAAATCGATACTTTTGCAGCTCGATTGTTTTTAAGGTACGTCCACACCGAACGCGCAGAGCTGCGCCGCGCTGTGCAAAGCATATTGCGCTGCGCGAAACTGCGCTAAACTGGGCGGAACAGAGCGCCATGTTCATAGTTGCGCGGCTGTGATCCGTGTTGCGCGGGCTACACAATCACACCGATTAGAAAATGGACCCTGCAATAGCTGCTTCGGTTTTTATTGTTATTTATAATGATCGGTTAAAAAGAAGGAGAAAACAACGTCATCATTGGGTGACGCCCATACTGAGACGTCGGGAATCGTATGGAGGGGAATCCATGCTCAATGATCTCCGTATTGGTGGGCAGTTTGAAAATTTTTGCCGCATGTCGTCTGAAGATTTTGAGTATCTTCTCAATTTGATTGGGCCAGAAATCACTCGACGGGATATTTTGATCATACACAGGTAGTGACAGTTCGAGCCAAAACGACGCGCAGCAACAACTGAGCAAATGCCCGTCCACACTGAGCGCGCAAAGGCGAACAAACTTCAAAGATGTTCGTCAAAATACCGCCATCAGTCGGATCGTGATCGCGGATGTTCTCGAGTGCGCGTAGCTGCGCGGTTCGCCGTCCACACCAAGTGCGCCGCTCGGCGCGCACATGTTTTGCGCAGCGCGGCGCAGCTCTGCGCGTTCGGTGTGGACGTACCTTTAGAATTTAGTACATCGCGATATCGATAGTCCACTCCCACTCCACTCCACACTCTATCCATTCCCGTTCTCCTTTGACTTGACGACAGTTTTGACAGTTTGGTAGATCATTAGGAGAGAACTGTAGCGCCTAGAGGCGTAATGTCAATTTTTTAAGAGAAAACATAAATTTGTTAATAACAAACTCTTAAGTTTCTATTTATCAGTAGGTAGTAATGGGAATAAAATTCAATGTCAACAGTTGAAAAGCTTATTGCTAAGGTTATGTTCATTGACCAGAATTTGTTTTAATCAAAACTGAATATCATCAGATGGAGGCCATTTCTATTACCTAATTTGTATTATTATTGTTAGTATCAACCAGCTCTTGTAAAAAATGCCAAAATTCCTCCTTCCTGAGAGGGAGTGTAATTTACTCTTTTCTAACTCTTAAGACTAATTTTAAAGCTTAATGACGAATTAAAAATTACAAAATTATGACCTTGCTCACAGTTCTTAGAAATTTTATTCCTGATTCCTTTATTAATCTTATTTTTTGTCTGGAGAATTGTATGACCTTGCTCACAGTTCTTAGAAATTTTATTCCTGATTCCTTCATTAATCTTATTTTTTGTCTGGAGGTCGATATGATTTTAGTTTCTACTCAAGAGTATTGAATTGAATGTAACAGTAACTTATTTAGTATCAATTTATTCAGCTCAAGGGGTCTCTTTAATAAGAGGCCCACCACTTAAAAGGTTTAACTTATATTTTAAAATGTAGTAGCCTATTGAAAGTTAAAATTAAAGCCATTGAGTTTGTAAAACTTCTAAAAGTCAGTCTCAGTCAAACCAATAAAGTTTACTCCGATTCCGATTCGATTACTCTTAAACAATCGAGCGGTAAAAGTATCGATTTTCCAGTTTCGATATTCGTCAACTAATTTGAGGTGAAAAAGTGCTCTCCGCTTGGCTAACTGTTCGCGGAAAATTGTTATCTGTATCACTGTTGCTGTCAAAACGTATAATTTGTAGATTAAATTTGAATTAAATATAATTAAACTATCATAACCTAACCAAACTTGCTGATAATGATAAACTCGAATGAAGGTTTACTAATCGAAAAATAGCTCTGTTCTAAAAATAAAATTAAAAATGTCTCAAATTCAATTTTACAATCTTTTAATTATAAAATTAAACTGTCATAACCTAACCAAACCAACCAAACTTGCTGATATGAAAAAAATTGTTGACAAAAAGTTAGTGCTCCCAGTGGGATTCGAACCCGGCACCATCAGATTATCAGCCCGACACGCTATCCACTACACCACAAAGGCTCATGACTCAGTTCGGTTCAGTATCGTTGCAGTAATGGTTGACGTCACGCCATCGGCACTGAGCGGTGGTGGGGGGTTTTTCGATCTGATCCACGATCCTACCGATCAACCGATCGGCCGTTCCTAGGAGTTGCACTGGCAGTCTAGATGCTTATTTTCAACTATACTCAGTATGTGAATCCAATGGGGTCGATAATGTGGTGTGCTACACTCAAAATTACTCGCTTGGTTATCTTCTCCTTATCAATAACCTGAAAACTAGGCAAATTAACTTCTAATGTGTCTAAGACTCTATTCCAAATCAGACCTAGGACGTTAGACTTTGTAGAGGATAAACCGAAATTAGTTGTATATCAGTCAACTTCAACCCACGGAGCTCAAATTTTCTTTCATTCATGATACTCGTTGACATTTCAATGAATCCCTTCTGTGGTTCAATGTTTAATAGGTTGCACACTGAAAGCAAATCTTTAGAGTTAAATAGATTATATGTTTATCTATGGTTAAAGTTATTCAAACTTAGACTGTATGACTGGATAACTTCTTGATCAGCGTTGTACGTGTTAGTGTATGACTGGCTAAGCCTAAATCCTTTCTATGACTTGTCAGAATATTTTTCTTTTGAGTCTGTACACTTTTGATGTTCTGATTGACAAATAGTATGGTATTTTTAACTTTGTATTGATCATTTGTAGGTAGCGATCATATTGATCATATTGACGTTGTCTATTACCATATTATGTTTAAAGACAATAAAGATTCCAATTTCTGATGGCTAAGCTATCACTTTTCTTACACTAAAAAGTAAGAAGTCACGTGCAGTAAAGATCTATGATCATTATCCTACTAATATTATCCTACTAATATTATAAATGAGAAAGTTCGGATGTATGGATGTATGGATGTATGGATGTATGTTTGTGACAAGTGAACGCGAAAAATACTGGTAGGATTGGGCTGAAATTTGGCATGATGATAGCTCACATTCCCGATTAACATATAGGCATATTCTTATTTCAAAAATCCTTTCGGGCTCCGCCCCAGTGGCTCTGAAGTTTCCCATGTTAACCTTATGAGAAATGGAATTATTGAATCTTAACAGCTGTTTCAACTAAACAAGTTGGTTCTGTTCTATGATGTTCAATAGCATTAAAGTTACAAGGATTACCAACAGGGTGCAGCTCTATTATTTCTTTTACTTTTATGACAACAGCTAATTTGCAACCATAAGGTGAGTGAGCGTAGCGAACGAACTTCAACCTGGAGGCGAGTTAGCGTAGCGAACGAGCTAATCTGAAGGCAAGTGAGCACAGCGAACGAGCTCCAACCTAAAGGTGAGTGAGTGTAGCGAACAAACTTCAACCAGGACGTGATTGAGCCATGCGAACGAGATAATCTTGAAAATTAAGAAGTTAAACGGGGCAAAGCCCGCGGGTTACAGCTAGTAGTACATATACAAAAGGCAGTGAAACTGGAAGGATAAAGGAAAAGGACTGAGGAAGAGGATTGAGGAAGGAAGTGTTTTTTTTTCCTGTATTTCTTTTCTTTCGTGGTTTATGGTTGAGGAGGTTGACTTGCTTGACTCAAGTCACTCAGTTGAGTTGAGTTTTGAGTTGAGAGTTGAGTGAGTTGACTGACTGCTACAGCTACACAGAGCTACGCTAAAACCATGATAAAACGCTACTGCTACTACTGCTAGCTTTACAGTGTTGGTTACGTTACAGTGCTTGCTTGAGTCACTTGTCACTTTCACTTGAGTTAGCTACAACTTGTAGCTTCCTTCCTTGTGTGTGTCTTGTCTCACTACTCACTGTCTGTCTGTCTGTGCTGTGTAGCGTGTAGTTTGTAGTAGTGTCAGTGTGTCATTGTCATTTCATATTGTGTCGTGTGATTGTGATTCGAATCGAATTGTGATGCTTATGTCAGTAATATTCTAAATTGATTCCTGCAGACAACCAAGTTAATATCCAAGTGATTCAGATCTTCAAATTGTTTTTTTTCAACCTAGCCTGAAGAAATAACAGATATAGGCCTAGTCTACAAACTAGAAATGAGCGACGACGATCGTGATCTCGATATCGAAAGTGTAAGTTAAGTTGTGTGTTAGGCTAACTTATCTATCTTTGTGTTCGTCTTAAGTCTAGTAAGTGCCTAACTTAGTGTCGTGATCGATCCAAGTTAGCTAGGTCTAATTACCTAACTTACCAAGTTCTAAGTTAATACTTAGTTAAGTTAGGTAGTCAAAATGTAGACCTTAATCCAAACAAGAGCCAGTGCTATTGGGCAACCTTACCAAAATTAGTACATTGGCCAAGGCCTAATTGATTTTGTTCAGTAAAACAATGTAAAGTGAATCCATAGGCCTAGGCTATATAACAGCAACCCCTATTACTGTAGCAGCAACCAGTTTCAGCTCTTACTTTGGAAAAGTCCTCAGACCGTTCACTAAAGCAGTTAAGGTGGTAGGCTACTAACTTAAAGCATTTTACATTAGCCTAAGTTATGTAGGCCTATTACTTATAACTCAAGCAGTGGCCAACGATCTCGGGACGATCGTTTGCCGTTGATGCTTAGAATGGCCTCGATCGTAAGGTGATGGTACCGGTATGGGCCGAAATTATTTTAACGGTAAAAAACACTTAGGCCTATAATCAACTCAGATGAGAACAATTATAGGCTACCATTCGAAAGATCACATTCTGAACTTTCATTTTATTACCTACATAGGCCTATAACAGTGTCACGAAAATTAGAAATCAAATGGATTTTTTGCGTGGCACGATGCATCTGACACTTGTGAACTGGCAAAACACGACATGTTTGGCATTACCCTGCTCGGGTAATTTTCGTCTTGGGATGTTGCGGGTGGTACCACTGGATAGCCATTGATTTTATCTTCATTGTGGTAGTGATATTTTAGAATAAAATATTAATTGGACAACCGGTACGATTTTATGAAAACAGCTGTTTTCAAAATTTACATATAGCCTAACAAATGGCCAACAGATGCTAGACGATCGTTCAGAAAATACGAATTACATAGGCCTACAGTGTAAGTTATTATTACTAGTCATATAACATGTCATTTTGAAGAGGAAGAAATGTAGCTAGCTTGTGATAGTGGCAGCCCTGCGCTCAGGGTTATTTCCGTTTTCTCTCACTAAGACGACGAAAGTACGTCACTACTGTCAAGGTCTCATAGCTACACAAAGTGCCTTGTAATCATCAAATTGCGTGTTGTTGCCAGTGAGTTTTCGCACTTGTGTCATCCGCGATTTATTATTAAATTCATTATTATTTCATATTGTTAGAGAAATGTGTGTGTGTATATAACGGTAATCTTCATGCATTTTATTATGCATGAATATTTACTGAATAGTATAAAAATTGTGTTTAAAATGGTTGTATTTTTCTTGCGGTTGTGTTTTTGCGGTTTTCCGCTTATTATATTATCATGCCCCTAATACGTAAAAACCTAAATTGTTACCGTACCCAACGTGTTATACATTTTTATGTAGGTAATTGAATACAATACCGTACACTACAAGATGATTATGTTGGTTTGAAATAAAAACATTTGATACAAAAGTTTGTTCTAAATAGGCTAGCCTACTATGAATTTTTTGTTACACAAAATCGCTAAAATATAAAACCATTTATTTACAAATAAAAAATTGTTTTTACCATAAACTTTATGACTTTTTTTGATTGCTTACTTCATTAAGTGAGCGAAAACTCACCGGCAACAACACGCAATGGCGAATATAAGGCACTTTGTGTAAGTTATGAGACCTTGACAGTAGTGACGCACTGTCTAATAATAATAATAATTTCGTCGTTTTAGTAAGACGAAGTACGGAAATAACCCTGAGTGCAGGGCTGCCACTATCACAAGCTACATTTCTTCCTCTTCAAAATGACATACATGACTAGTAATAACTTAATAACTTGTAACACTGTATGTAATTTGAATTTTCCGTACTAGCGTATTACGCTGGTTGGCCATTTGTTATAAATTTCGAAAACAGCTGTTAATTCAGCTGATACGATAACAGCTCTAAATTCGAACCTGTTTTGCAATCAATATTTCGTTCTAAATATCAATACCACAATGAAGATAAAATCAATGGCTATCCAGTGGTAGCCTACCACCCGCAAAATCCCAAGACAAAATTTACCCGAGCAGGGTAATGCCAAATAAATCGTGTTCTGCCAGTTCCCAAGTGTCAGCTGCAAAAGTCGTGCCGCGCCAAAAATTTATTTGATTTCTAATTATCGTGACATTGTTACATAGGCCTAGCCTACCTCCTACAGGGTTTGTTTAGGCCTAGCCTATATAATAAAATGAAAGTTCAGAATGTGATCTTTCGAATGGTATAGCCTATATATTGTTCATATCAGAGTTGATTATAAGTGGTTTTTTCACCGTTAAAAAATTTCGGCCAATACTAGCATACTACGCTGGTGGCCATTCTAGGCATCACGACGAATGAGCGTATTACGCTCGTTGGCCACTGCTAGGGTTAACCCAAATACAGTTATCACACGTCGGGGATTGTGACATCCCCTGGACACCCGAAGATGATTTTGTGAGAAGTCAAAACTAGTTGCGTCATAGCAACAACATTTTTGGACTTACAAGAAGCAGGTAGGCTATTTACACCAATTTTTATAATCAACTTAATCCGGAGGCTAACAACAACAATGAAATAAATATTGTTTAGTATCAATAATATAAATAATAAATTGAAATGCAAGTGTTGTAAACTAACCTTACATAACTAACCAACTTGCTGTAACATTTCAAAATAACTTAAAACAGTTTCATTTCTTAACCCTAGGCCCACATCTGGCAAAGATCTACCTACCAATTGGTTGTTTAAAGGAGCTTCTTCACTGGCAAACGAATAATTACAATAGTCTGTTCATCGAGAGTCTGAAGTAAAGCATCGCCTCCCAATGGCGCGCGGCGGGTTGGGGCCATTGACCTAGGGTAGAGATTGTCACGTGTACGCGTGCAACAGGGGGTATTCTCTGTGGAACTGTACCTGAACCAACAATATTTTATTGAATGAATAACGATAAATATTGGTTCGATATTAATGGTAACTTATTAAATTTAATCATACCGTCGGACCATATGGTATAAATAAATAAAAGTTAGTTTACAACAAAAACAAAGTTTTTTCTTTTTATATAGGCCTACATAGTTTTTATTAAAAGTTATTTGTTTTGTTACTTTTAAACAGCCTATTTGATTTGTTTTTGGTTAGACCTAGATATTGATGGTTTAGTTTATTAAATATGAATAAAAATGCAAAAATCAAAAATCAATTTTATGTACATTGGGAAGAATAAACAAAAGTTCCTTATTTTGTAATCGATATTGAATTGCATAAACATAGATAAGTTATTTAGCGCTATTCATTCCATAAAATAGGTAGGCACTGTACAGTCTTACCTGTGTGTCTTTATTAGTGTGGTTGGTTCTCTGCGGAACTGTACACTAGACCAGACCACTGCTAGGCTATTACTAGGTTTTGTTAGAACACTAATCAAACTCTGATTCATGAAAACTTGGGGTGCTACTCTTTCTCCAAAAATACTCCTTTAGTGCTGCTTAAACTTGGAAAAGCTGTGTTTTTTCCATAAAAGTGTGTTGGAGCAATGTTTAATCCACAACAACACTGTTCCCATAGAACTGTGCATATCAGTCATTTTTAAACCATAGCCTAGCAGTGTATTCCCTGTACCAGAGGGACAATTTTATGAATGCCAATGAATATGTTGATCTGAGAATCTTTTACTCGCCAGTAACTAACTTTAGAGTTAAGTAACCACAAAGCAGTTGAAAGAAATTAAGTTAACAAGCAACCCCTTTGTTTATTAATGTTCCAGGCTGAGAAAAGAGCTCACCATAATGCTTTGGAGCGAAAGAGGAGGGATCACATTAAGGATAGCTTCAGTAGTTTGAGAGACTCAGTTCCATCACTGCAGGGGGAGAAAGTGGTAAGAAACTGCCTTGTAGTTCCATCATTGCAAGGAGAGAAAGGGGTAAGAAACTACATCGTACAGTCCGTTGCACAAGTGAAAAACCAGCTTGTGTCTGTTTAAAAATATAGTATTAAGATTACCTGAGTTAGCATTGAGCAATTTTTCCTAGCGCCGAGGGTATAGATTCCAGTTCAAAAATGTTCGTGATAATATTGACCACTTAAACAACCCTTTGTCAGTCCTGATGCCTTGAATAGACAATAACAGTACACAAATAAACAGTCAAATAACTTTTTTCATATAATAATGCATTGGCGCTTGTTTGTAACGGTCTAGTTAACACATTCGCTGCTAAGGGTATGATTTCGAGCCACACGTTCCGGGCCCCGCATGCTCAAGGTCTGAAATCATACCATACGCACCGTTTCGGATTTCGAAGCCAGTATGAGCCGAGCGTTTGTTGGCCAGAAGAGGTTATATCGTCGTGTAGTGTTGCCCAAGAGTCCTAGTAATGTTGTTCCCGCTGTTTCTGTGTCCCACGCTGCGGCCGGTTTTCGCGGGGTTTTAAGTTGGCGCTACTGTTTGCTCAAGACTTAGTATATACACAAAAGGGATGTAAAAGAAAGGGTAATCTTGCACGAAAAAGATGCAAGGTGTGCTAAGCACACTGCTACAAGAACAGAGTAAATTTGTGCTCAGTGCCCTGGGGAACCAGCTTTGTGTCCGACAGGCGGTTACGAAATGTACCACGCACCATAAAGCAAGCATGGACAAGGGTGGGTGGAGAGTTGTAAATATTGTAAATAAATTATCGTTTATACATGTACTTTTACTTTATTAACTCTTATGTGCAGTAATATAAGATAGGCCTACTTGACACTTTTCACAATACCAGTTTGTGAAGATTGCCGCAATGTCGTTCGGCAGCGCTGATTATGACGTCATATCCGGTAGCATATGATGCTGGGAATTTTCACTGATACCATATTTCAACTAGGCCTACATTTTGTTATAAGTTAGTGTTGTTTTCATATTTATTAATTTTCAGCACTGCTAAAAATATTTAATTTTTTTTGTAGCAGCTAATGTGTTAAATGTAATATGGAAGAAATTCATATCCTATGAGTTGGCAAACTAATTCAAGGTGGTTTTTTAAAGTAAGGGCCTTTTTTGTATATAGATCCGTAGTTAGGTTGCATGTTCCCCGCCACTTACTGGCATCACTTGTGAATATTGATTAATAATAATAGTTCAATATATGGATAAGTTGTTGTGAATGATATATAGTTATGGATGTGCACACAAGGTTAGTTATTCTTATGCTTAGAATTTAGGTTGTCATAGGCCTATTACATCGAGATAGGTTTGGAAGTTATTTTGTATTGGATAATATCACATAAGCTACTTTTTTGCCACACGTTGCAGGCGCCAATGTAAAGTTCTTTATTAGTTTATGTGTGTTGGTAAATAAATAAATTTCCAGGGTTTACAATAGTGAACACATATAAACCTTTTATTTATCAAATTATACAAATATGGTTATAAATTTAGATGAAATTCTTATCTCAGATTTCTAGGAGTACCGTGCCGGCTCAAAGTAGGCTTATGTGATTTTGGATAGGCATAAGCCTAATGTTCATCAAAAGTTACAGTTTAATTAGGTATACACTTTTGAAAAGATGAAAGTTCAAATTTTGAATTTAGTAAAATGATAATTTAAAAGGTTTAAGTTCAAAACGGCAAAAGTCAATAGAAATTTTGCAACGTGAGTATTTTAGCAAAGTAGGCCTGTTGAAGAATAAAGATTGTTTGCCTTGAATGAGTAGGCTTTATTTAACACAATTCAAGTAGTGGAATTCATAAGTAAGAGTTAAATCTAGAGAATGAAATAATGATTACAAACATTCAACATAAACGAATAAAATTAACAATGTCCAACAACAGCTGGGAATATTTTCTATCACATTCTTCCCCGCTAATATAATTTAAAGTCTTTAAGATGAGAAGGTAGTTTCTTCTGTCTTGAGCTTCGTCTCTGTGATTGGGTTTCATCAGTACTTAAGGTTTGTAGAGGCTCTTGAGTTGCAGATTCTTCTATCACCTCTGCATCGGGATGAGACACTAAGTTTACATCGCTATTAAGTTCCATTGTGTGGTTCTCCGGTGTTGATCCATCATCAAAATCTGTTCTCTCAGCTTGTTTTCCACAAGGAGCTAAGTTGCGTGTAGACACTGTTGTCTCACGCCCATCTGGCAATCGTACATGAGCGTAATCAGAGTTTCCTTCCAGCAACGTCACCTCCTGCACTATTGGTTCATACTTAGAGTTTCTGATAGGACGTCTCATCAACACTTTTCCAGGAGTCATCAACCAGGTTGGTGTAGAAACACCATTTTGTGATCTTCTGGGATGTCCAAACATTCGTTCATGTGGCGTACAATTCGTGGCAGTACAAAGCAAGGATCGGATAGAGTGAAGAGCTTCATCCAGAACTAATTCCCACTTTGTCACGTCAAGTTGATAGTTTTTAAGGGCAAGTTCTACTGTTCTCCAGATTATACCATTATACCTCTCAACCTGGCCATTACACTGAGGGTTGTAAGCAGTAGTCCGACTAGAAGCAATGTCGTTTAAAGCGAGAAACTCCTTTAGTTCTTTTGAAAGAAAAGAAGATCCCTGATCAGAGTGAATGTAGCTAGGAGTACCGAACAATGAAAATAACTGTTTCAGTTTGCAAATAACAGTCGAAGAGGACATATCAGGACAGGGGTACGCAAATGGAAATCGTGAGTACTCATCAATGATTGTTAGCATATACCGATTTCTTGTAGAAGAGGGAAGAGGACCCTTAAAATCCAGGCTAAGACGCTCGAACGGTGATGTTGCTTTTATTAATTTTCCATCATGTTTGAAGAATCTTGGTTTTACTTCAGAACATACCTTACAGGAAGCAGTCATTCTTCTTACCTCATCAAGGGAGTATGGTAAATTTTTGCTTCTTATCCAATGATACATACGAGTTTCACCAGGATGACACATTCTTTCATGATATTGATGAAGTCTGTTCATTTTGTCGCTCATCGAGCACACTCGTGATAGAGAGTCAGCAGCTACATTCAGTTTACCAGGTCTATAAACAATATCATAACTATAGCTCGATAGTTCTAGTCTCCACCTCATGATTTTGCCATTCTTAATTTTCCCCGATATCTTAGAGTTGAACATGAAAGAGACAGACTTCTGGTCTGTTATTAGTTTGAAATGTCTGCCTAGCAAATAGTGTCTCCATTTTCATACTGACTCCACGATTGCATATGCTTCCTTTTCAACCGAACTGTGCTTTAGTTCACTATGAGACAGAGCTCTTGAGAAAAAGGCTACAGGTTTTCCTTCCTGGGTCAGTGTTGCTGCTATTACAGTGTCAGATGCATCAGTCTCAACAGTGAAGATCAGGATTTATGGGACTCATTGAGGCATTTTCAATCTCTAGTTTCAGTTCATTAAATGCATTTATAGCCGTTGTGGATAAAGGGAAAGAGCTGGTTGTCAGAACTTTAATCTTTTCAGAAAATCGTGGGACATATCTTGAGAAATGGGAAAACATTCCTACTGCCCTTCTTAGGGGTGATGCGTTTGTGGGCAAGGGCAAGTTCTTTAGAGGTAAAAGCCGATCAGAATCTGGCTTAATGGTTTTGTTGCTTATTGTATATCCCAGGAGACTAATAGATTTCATTGAAAAAGAACATTTATTTTCATTAATAGTCAAGTTATACTTACTAGCAGCGTTCATCAGCCTGTTTAGGTTCCTATCATGCTCCTCTTGTGTTTTACCACATACTGTTATGTCATCTAAATAAGCAAAGGGGTCATTAAGATTTTCTGCCCTGATTATGCCATCAATAACTCTCTGGAATGCAGCAACTCCATTTGTCACCCCAAAGGGAATTCTGGTAAATTGATACAGCTGACCACATGCTTCAAAAGCTGCCTACTCATTCAAGGCAAACAATCTTTATTCTTCAACAATTTATTTAACACAATTCAAGTAGTGGAATTCATAAGTAAGAGTTAAATCATAGATAAAACATACTCCCTTGTGTTGCTTAGTCTATGGTTAAATCTAGAGAATGAAATAATGATTACAAACATTCAACATAAACAAATAAAATAACAATGTCCAACAACAGCTGGGAATATTTTCTATCACAAGGCCTAAGTCAAGTTCAGTTTGATCTCACCCAAAAGTTTATAGTAGTCTTCACCACAAAATATTTCTTGATGTAGAAATGATAGGTATTAAGTAATTGAGATAGATCTTGAGGTTTAAATACTGTTAAGTTAAATCACCAATTAAAATTTTCAAATCAGATTCCTTCCTTGCTTCTTCATCACTTACTATGTAATTGAAAATCTTGATGTTAAATTTCATACATCTGTTGCAACAATTGGTTATCCACTGGTTTCTTGATGTCACTCACTATTCACTGTTGCTTATGATTGGTTGGTATTATATCGAGTATTTTAATTATATTTTTGAAAGCGAAAGAGAAGAATAATTTTGTAAAATAAATTCAAACTGTATAAATAACTTCCAGTGATTACAAATTTCAGCTTATTAAATAATAAAAGACAGTGTTTGATGAGAATGTGAAATATGGAAATTTACAATAGGTGAAACCTTTTGCCCTTTTACTGTACTTATGTAAACATGTGACAATTTAGAGGTATTAATTTAGCTAATAGTAGGCCTAGGTGTTTGGATACATAACACATGGTTTATAAACAACTTATATACAAATTCAAAAGTAAACAATGAGGATAATTTTGGAACATCTCAGTACGCATCGCTGTGTGTTATTAAAATAACTTATCGAATCCCCTGCCACGTGTGAGAAAGGTCAGTAATAGTGTTAAATATGTAAGAAATAACTAACTTCAGAATTAACCCTCTCGTGTCTGGTCGACTCATTTGAGTCGATAAAACAAGCGTGACGTAATCGGGCGGCGATTGCGTAATTCGTGGTCAAATTACGTTGAATATAGTATAATCTTAAACGGC